TATATAAACATCTTCACAAATCATAACATCCTGGAAATGGATAACAAAACTTGTAAATGTATTAATAATAAGAACCTTGTAAATGTATTAATAATAAGAACCTTGTAAATGTATTAATAATAAGAACCTTGTAAATGGATGAATAGCAAAAACATCTGAATAATAAAAACGAAAATTTTTATTATTCATTATGCAAACGTATTTATTATTCAAACGTAAATTAATAACAACATCCTGGAAATGGATGAATAATAAGAACCTGTAAATGGATGAATAACATCATCCTGTAAATGGATGAATAACATCATCCTGTAAATGGATGAATAACATCATCCTGTAAATGGATGAAAACATCATCCTGTAAATGGATGAATAACATCATCCTGTAAATGGATGAATAACATCATCCTGTAAATGGATGAATAACATCATCCTGTAAATGGATGAATAACATCATCCTGTAAATGGATGAATAACATCATCTGTAAATGGATGAATAACATCATCCTGTAAATGGATGAATAACATCATCCTGTAAATGGATGAATAACATCATCCTGTAAATGGATGAATACAAACATCCTGTAAATGGATGAATAACAAGAAGCTTGTAACTGAATAAATAATAAGAACCTTTAATGGATGAATAATAAGAAAACATTTTGTAAATTGATGAATTATATGAAAACATCGTTTACATAATGAAGTAAACCACTTGTACAAGAGTAAGTCATCGGCCGTATGAGGAACGGCTGAGGGCCACAGGGATGACAACACAACAAACCAGACATGACAAGGCTCATCTCATTGATACCTAAAATACTGAAAAAATTAGAGGATGTTGATCCAGATATTTTGTTCAGAAGGTCACATGGAACACAAACAAGGAGCAACGGGTGACATGTCAACATGTCAGTGTTGGACTGGGAACAGGAGATGCTATTTCACCCACAGGGTTGTTGGTGTTGGGGCCCTAGTGGTGGTGTTGGGGCCCCTAGTGGTGGTGTTGGGGCCCTAGTGGTGGTGTTGGGGCCCCTAGTGGTGGTGTTGGGGCCCCCTAGTGGTGGTGTTGGGGCCCCTAGTGGTGGTGTTGGGGCCCCTAGTGGTGATGTTGGGGCCCCTAGTGGTGGTGGTGTTGGGGCCCTAGTGGTGGTGTTGGTGCCCCCTAGTGGTGGTGTTGGAGCCCCTAGTGGT